ACGGTAGGAGTCTGTCTGATGTGGAGAGGCAAATCATTCCACAATTTAGGCGCCGCGACCGCAAACACAAGATCGCCTCTAAGAACCAGCCTTGACCTTGGTGTGGCCAAGAGAAAAAGATCGCCCAATCTAAGCGCTCTAGCTGTGGGTAGTGACCGAAAGAACAAGATCACGGATACAAGCGGCAGAAATGAGCTTCCTCCGAAGAGATAGGGTGAGAAGTTTGGCCATCCGGGAGGGGCTCAGAGTAGAGCTGTTGCTCCTCCACATTGAAAGGAGGCAGTGGAGGTAGTTCGGTGTCAGTTCGGGAACCTGACAAGAATGCCTCCTGGCAACTCCTGCATGAGGTGTCCCGGGCATGTGCCACCAGGAGGAGGCCCTGGGACAGACCCAGGACACGCTGCAGAGATTATATCTGGCCTGGGAACGCCTTGGTGGAGAGGGAGGTCTGGGCGTCTCTGCTTAGACTGCTGCCCCTACGACCCGGAGAAGATGGATAAATGGATGTATGAAGAAAACACAAATGCATAATAACTACACATTTGCTATTTATTCTTTTTATTTAACAAAAGGTGATGTTGAAAAAGAAGCTGCACACAAATGCAATAGATTGAAAAAGATGTTGCTAAAACACTTTGAATTTATTCTTCATCTTTTTGAATTGATCATTGTGGTGGTGTCACTTCTACAAACATTTGAGAAACAACTACAGTTACAGTGATAGGTGCCACCTGTGCAACAGGTAATGCTCCCAACTTTATGGGAACACTTTGGGAACGGTTGCTTCCTGTTCCAACTTGACTGGAAGGTCCATAAAGACACGGTGTTCGGTGTGGAAGAACTTGACTGGCCTGCACAGAGTTCTGACCTCAACCCAACATAAAGCCTTTGAGATGAATTAGAGGTGGGACTGTGAGGAAGGCCTTCTCGTCCAACATCAGTGTCTGACATCGGAACAACAGTCAAACATTCTCATGAACACACTCCTTGTTGTGAGGTGGAGACTTTAAAATATTTAAAAGATAAACTCACTGATTCTCTATAAACTAGCTCTTGAAAACATAGCAAAAACTGTTGCATTCTACTTTATATTGTAAGTACTCCACTTGTTTTCTCTTTGTTTTTATTGTTTTCCTGCTCTTCTCCACAAAAGGACGGAGTTTATTTGGATTGTGCCACAGGCAAAAATATAATTTAACTAACATGAAAAAAAAAGTCTGTGCTTTTTAAATGATGGAAGAACACAAAAAGTCTAAGCCTTTTAAAATGTAAACCAGAGAATAAGAAAAAAAACACATTAATCAAGAAAATTAAGAAAAAAAATTGAGATATTTGATTGAAATCCATCCATTTTGTTCCACTTATCCAATTCAGGGTTGTGGGGCTGTTGGAGCCTATCTCAGTTGTCCTTGGGCGAAGTACACACTGGAGAGGTCACCAATCTATCACAGGGTTAACACGGCGACACAAGCAACCATTCACACCTACATCCAACCTAGAGTCCCCGGAGAGAACCCACGCAGACACGGGGAGAACATGAAAGCTCCACTCAAAAAGACTCCCAGGACCTCCTTGCTGTGAGGCCATATTGCTAACACACCAACGTACTCCCATGAATACATAATTAAATAAAATGAGCACATTTGTTCATAATATTAGAACATTTGCCTGAAGTAGAAAGAACAGTGGCCACTGAGAGATGCAACCATGTGTCTTTAAGCTAATAATAGTAAAATATAAGAAGGGGTAGCATAAAGAATAATACAATAGTGTAATAATACAATGCACAGCTTCTGAAGGTTAGAAATCATAATTAGTATGGAGAGACAGATGGTGTTTGGAGCAATGCAGATATCCTACATCACAACATTTGGATGACGAGCGGCTCATTAATAATTCATTGCCTGTTGTTTGGAGGCTGGATGGCTTCTGCCTGTTGCTGCCACGCTGACTACAGCTTTGTCAGAGTGCTCTGTCAGCACTGACAGCTCGCCTTTTAAAGATACAGTTTGTGCAATTTAATCATTTTAAATGACAGCGTTTGAGAGTGTTTTTTGTGTGCGCAGATTGCGTATGTCACTCAGTGCTGCTGGTTTGGAGGCTGTGGAGAGCTGGACGGGATATTACCTTCTGCCTGATTGTTATATTTGAATTTTATATGTGAAGGTCAAATCAAATTGTTTCCACATGAAGAATACACATAAAGACTTTCTAAGCTTGTTATGAACAGAACAGCGTGCTACAATAATACAAGACCTCAGTAAGCCATGGAGCATTAAATAAAATTTAATCTTTCTTATTGCAGTCATAATCTTTTATTTTTTTGTTATTAAAATGTTTTTTTTTTAAATCTAATGATGCATATATTTTTGATTTACTACATTCGGCAGTCTAGCCATTAGTTTTTCTGATATTTAGTCATGTCACATTAGAGTCAGAGTTTTTCCTGATGTTGACCATGACTCAAAAATCTCAGTATGAACCAGATCAGGGATTTAGAGACATGTTACACCCCTGTTAGTGTATGATTCTGAGCTCGAGTCACTCCAACAGCTGAATCCTGCATCACCGGCATTGCAGTTAATACTGTTTTAACAACTTTATTTACTCAAAAGAAGGACACTTTATTCCCCTAAAATGCACAGCTATCTGTCTAAGGGGCTGGGATAGATCAGTAGGTAAAGTGGTTGCCCCATGATCGGAAGGTCGGGGGTTCAAATCCA